TCTACTGATTATATAAATAAACTATTTATTCCCAGAACGAATCAACTATTGGTCTACTACAGTACCTAAACAACACGCTTAAATACCTTTGTTACCCCAAAAACTATAAATAAACTAGTCGCATAGATGCATAAAAAGACTTAGTAGAAATAAATATTTGTTCACCAAATTACAATGTACAACAAATATAAACATATATGTCCCACTCCACATACTTTTTCTCTGCCCTGTGGCACTTTTCTGCTCGCCTCTTCTGTTGTATTCGCCTTGTAGTAGAAGTTGCATTGATCTACACTCCGACTGAAGCTGAGAAACAATTGAAGTCACTTACTCATATATCATCCCTCAAGGTTTGGCTAGTAATGGCTCAGCATCCCCGATGAAATCCATTGGCACCATAACATGACGCTGTACAGCACTCTATACAAGCACTGTCAATGATCTAAAATGGCTTACATATAGCTTTCTACGTGTCCATCAACTTACTCGTACGGAACAACCATGCAGTGATAAATGGCGGGCTCTGGCCGACTTGGTTGCAGTAAAACAAATCTGCTTGACAACGACCAATATTAATCTGCATTCGGTTGAATTCACATCTGGTATTACCTGCAATAAAAATGATGTCAAAATCATACAAATAAATCACTCATTTTAAATTAATACCTAATTTGAACATAAAACAAGAACAAGATAGGATGCCGCACACAACAAATTTATATGGAGGAATTGACTTCAAGTTTTATTTTTTCACTATAAATCAAATTCATGTAGTGTAAATAATACTTACCATGCCTGTACAACTGGTGTGTCCTACATAGACAGGAAATATATTCATTATTATAGGCCGTCGAATAGTGGTAACGTAAGTCGCAACAATTCAAAACAGTTTAGATTGCTTGGTAGGCCACCTCCACCTATTTACATGCCCACACCCAACGGGGCCGCCCCTCCAGCGATCAGCAGTTTTGCTGAAATGTCTTTACCGCATTTTACTCGGGTTCACAATATGACCACCAACATATTACAAGTACTCACCACTCTTCACAGGCTTCACCCCCTGATATAGATATGACAGTCGATAAAGCAATGCCTTATCACTGCGTGGAAGTCACTTTGCATGACACAGGTAATTCTCTTCTTCATCTGCAACGCCTTTTCTCCTTTTCTTCTGGCAGCCAATCTTCTTTACGCCCCAAATTACAGGAACATGAAAATACAACCGACTCCCTCCGAACTTCTAGCTATCCTTGCGCATCTACAGACATAGACATTTCACTGTCATATGAGAACACTACTTCAGGACATGGCTAAAATCTTAAGATATGACCCGCCTATTCCTAATATAGTTCTTATTAATGCCGTGTCAGCTGCAAACAAGACATCCAATCCCCACAACTGATTAGCCAACCTACGGCACTAATGATCACCAAAGCTTGATGCACAAGTGAACCAAATGATTTCTTCCACTGCGAGGGTTACTCATTTTTCAGAAAGAACAGATCAGTTGGACGGGCTGTTGAGATGCATTATCTACGTTAAATCTGACTTCAGAGCTGTGCACTAAGGTGACCCCAACCTGAATATATGCGATACATAAGGGGTGACACTACATAAATAAACGGCAAACCCTGTTAATAATTTACAACCATCGCCCACCCAACCACGACAGTGAACTGCTAAATGAAATAATTGCAGCCTTTCACTACACTTCGAAATTAAACTTCACTTATAAACTCATTGGAGATGATTTGAACATGCTTCAAGCTTAATGGGGCCCATGAGTGCTCCTCTCCACTGCAGTAAATTCTTAGGTGTAGTGGAGTTATGTGGGTGGACACAAAGTATTCTAAGACCCGAAACCCCAGTATACTGGACTTAGTGTTCTTGGAATACGTCACCCTATCTGCGATAGACATCAGCCAACCATTTCAAGCAGTGGTTGCCTGTTTACTTGTTTGAAAAAGAAAGCCCTGTATATTGAAATGAATCATACATTTACTGCTGATTCATTTATTCTAGCGTTATTAGGACTTATAGACCACCGAGGTACACTGAAGATGATGTACAAAGGCAAAGGGAGTAACTTTTTCGGTTGTCAAACCGAGCTTAGAGGGTACTTTGGAGACCTTCACGTGAGAGTTCATGCAGAGTTACTGAAGAACATTCTCTGGCACTTCAACCTATCACAAGCCAGTCAGAGAGCTGGGCTGTGGGAGGGATTCACTGGAACCATCAGACGTGTTTCAGAACTAAAAACCAAAGCTTGACCGAAAAGCCATCAAACCTGGACGGCGAATGAAAGACTTATTGAATGAGGGAAGTATATTTGAATCTTAATGGCCTAGGAGATGCAATTGAATAACTTAATCTCCAAGTAAACCTAGTAACAGACGAGATACCTGGACCTTTCGATGTAAACGGCAGTACAAACTTTACCGAATGGTTCCTCGAATTTTCGTTCTGTCGATTAAGTCTGGTTCTATTCCAACGCCAGTCACATTAATTCATACTGTAGAAGTAGGTCTGGACTTAGCCCTGAAAATTATCATTCTGTGACCCTATTCTTCGTTCTCTTGCGAGTTGTGGCTAAGGCTGCGAAAAAATTCACCTATACTCATCTACTCCAGCACGTACTTATCACTACACCATAACATGGATTCTTTTCTGAAAGGTTCTACATTTCCTAACTTGCAGCATTTTCAGTTGCATAATAAACATTTGGGGGTGACGAAGAAGTAGTAGTGACTCCCATTGGATCTTATCAAGGTGTCTAATCATCTCCATTACTATTTTCTCCTTTTCAAAAGCTAAATTCATTCCGTGTAAGAGGCATTTTGATGAGTCACAGCAGAGATTTTAATATATACTCCCACCATTCACATCATAGAAATATAATTGGGAGGATAGTTCAAGTCTCAGTCATAAGACCATTTCCTTTCGTAATCTACATAAACAACGAAAGTACCTGCTTTGATTTTGGCAGAACTGTCCTCTTCGCAACTAGCTCGAGATTGGTGTGCGCCTCATGGTCGAATTTGTGCGACATTGCCAATCCCGTCATTGGAGAAGGACTTAGGAAGGGTGTAGAGATGGTACGACACGCGACGTCCTGCACCTGTTACACAGAAGGCCGTATCTGCTATGTTTGAGCCAGAACATATTTCAACTACCATCGGCCTTACTGAGCTATAAATCCCGTAACTAGACTGTGTCTGAGACTTAGCGATAAGCTATTCTGGAGAGCTTTCGTCCTAAGACAGTCAGAAGCACAGTGCTCTGAAGCATCGCGCCCCACGGGGCTCACAAACTCCAAATTTCATCTCAGACAGATGAGAATAGCCTGGCATATTGAATGTGTGCTCGACAACCCCTGGAACGCCGTCCCATTGCACTTAACAGCTTGAGGTATTCTGGGGAATGGAAAACTCGTGACAAAAATGAACCAAGACTAATGTGGCTTAGGTGAATAAAGGTGAATCTCGATGTACTACAACATGAAGTCTGCAAATTTTACGTGAGTATTGTTACGGCCACCACACGATAAGCTCTCACAAATGTATGAGCTCTCGGTCTTCGACCAAAATCCAAGACAAGACTGAGTTTTTCCGAATGGATTTGAATTAAAATCGAAATAGTCGAAGAGTCAGCAAGATTTATCGTTCCATTTGACAGAAAACCTTCAATTATGAAGGTATCTGGCATCCAAATATCACGAGCGCAATGGCTTGAAACCAAATAGCTCGCGGTCAACGAGAATGTGCATTCGAACAAAAAATGTACGACAGCTCAGAATGTACTGCAAATGGTGTAGTTTACACAACAATGAAATGGTATATAAAGTACGGCTTCAGTATTTGATGGTATCATTTTCGAAGCAACGTTGGAAAACTGAACACTTTATCTGACGTCTTAATAAAGGAATTCTGCTATAAAGTCGACGCAATGACAGTTAAAAGTGCTCAGTTCTTAGCTTTTTTTTGAGGTCATAAAAAACATACGTTTATACTTTGCACCCCGCGATGCACAAAATCATTGCATCCTCAGGACATAGTAGAGACGTAAACCTTTTGGAAAGAGTCCAAAGATGGACGACTAAAGGGGCGATAGATCTCCAAAAGAAATCATGTGATGAACGGCTACTGACAGCCTAAGGGGGTCAAACATACCACCTATAAGACTGCAGACGACCAGAATCACCCGAACAAAGGTATTCTGCCATTATGCACGTATGGGTTACCTCGTAGCAATCCACGAAGGATAGCTCACCAGAGGGATAAGACTGGAGTGCGTTCCCACTTCTTTTCAGTGCGAGTTCACCGTTCCGGGAACTCTTCATCGGCAGATGCAGCTACGGCGCCGTCCGTGGACACCTTTAAGCGAAGGCTGGAAAATCACACAGCGACGCCTGGACTGTTTTCGAACGATCTGTCCCCCTTAAATCCCATATGCCATTCATGGGTAGACACCTAAAGTCATCGTTTCACTCCACATTCCGTCTTGTCTTACTCTCCTGACCACTACAACTATTACGTCCTCTACACTATTGATGTTATGGGTATATATGTATATATATATAAATATATCAATTTCAAATTTCATTAGCTGTCCGCTTTTACGCTTTCTTTATTCCCTTTTTTGTCTTTTAGTCGACATAACCTACATTAATTTTATCTGTTGTTATTATCATCTCTTTTCTTTTGATCATGATACCGGAGCACTAACTGGTGCAAGGATTAACTCTATTTACAGTAGCAACACTGTCTTAACAGACTGCATACTACAAACTACATATAATTAATCCGAGCACCAATCAATTTGGAGTCAACCGAAGCTACGAGACGAAAGGCGGGATGAACTAAGCAGAAGTTAACGAAAGATCAGAGACCTTTACCTCACAACCAAGAATCAAGCACGAAGAAATGAAATTGGTTTACACTAGCTGGTAAAAAGTGATATTGGATATTGGAACCTTCTCCATTTTCGTTTATAATCATTGGGACTAATAGCCTTGAGTGTGGCAAACATTTGAATGATGTAATGTTATTATTGAATATGATTGTCCTTGTGGTTGCAGTAACTGTAGGAGCATTTAGTGCTTCGCTGATTAATGGGGATTATAGTAGCGATGTTTGTTATTCTCAGCAAAAAACTTTTGAGCCGATCATTAAAGGTGGAAAAGCTTTGGAAGTAGTAGGTTTCACTTAAAGTTAACTTCCATAGTTTTACTTCGTAAACGATACCAAAGAAACGATACAGTTGACGTGGGCAGGTGAAAATAGTGGAGTACGTACTGTTATGTTTAATCTTTATTGTTAGGTCTTAATTCTGGTGACAATGACTGAGGGTGAATCTGGTCCAGGTTTGACTTCTGATATCTACCGTAGGTAAGTGGAAGGGATTTTAATATATTTTAGTGATAACAACGGCAAAACGTTCACCAAAATAACTAGAGAGTTGGGTGAAAATATCTATATACGCCGAGAGAATGGCTTGCAGCGCCACCAGAATCAGAGGGATTCGAAAGAGGTAATTTTGTCTTAACTAGCCTTCGAGTAGAAACAGCTATTTGTGATATGTTATGACGTAGAAAACATGAGCAAATCTATGATATTTGTTACAGAGGATGGAGGTTCGACCTGGGAAAGGTCTAGTGTACCATTTGTCTTAAGTGGTCAGTTGCGTTTTTATCCCCGTGAAAGACTTTCGCCATGGGTCTTAACTTTGGAAGAAAAAACCTCTGTATGTGCGGTCATTGTGCTTAGTGTAATTTATTCAGATTCTGTATCTTTCCTTGGACAACGGAAAAACATGGAGAGGCATTCACGAGAATGTCGTAGATTACTTTTGGTTTGCCAAATATTAGTTTCATCTTATTCAATCTAGGTCTATTTATGAGTCGGATCCAGGCGAGACCATATACATACTCTATCAAACACCGCTGAGTAAAAGTAAGTTGCTCTGATAATCTTTGAACTATTTTTATCATGTTGTTATTCCGACTTCATTTGAAAAATTTGCGTCCAGATTATTTTCTAAATTGCAACAGATGTTCGGTCAAACTGAATCATACTTCCCAAAATCAAAATACAGCCAATTAGTATAAATCTTAGCTTTTGAGGGAAACGTATAACACTTTGAGGAATCGGCATTGTTAAAGAAGTGGGAGAGTCGGCTGGGAACGAAATTTCCCCAAATTAACAAATTGTGCGCCTGTATGAAGATGCATAACATTTGTTTTGGAAGATAACAAATGCATCTGTTCATGCCAACATCTCTGTGTCTACTCAGCCAGTCAGATTTTGCATAGACCATTCCCAAAGATGTGATGAATAACTGTTGGCGTTGCAGTCTGGTTTTATACGACATTCGCACAGCTTAGCAGCGTTGCACAATCCACCTTGGTTAACTGAGTGTAGTTGTGTGGATGCATTGCATATTTTTGGAGTGTGTGCATGTGTTATAGCTTTTAGTGTTGTGAAAACTGAGATATTTTCAAACATTTACGTAGAATTACGTGAGGGAGTTGTTGGCTTTGGGCTGTTATTATTTTCTGTTTCAGTTTAATTGATATTGGAGTTTTCGAGTCATATAGGTGTCACCAGACTGACAATGGGGACGTCTACCTAGATATATTCCTTCGTGAACTTAATATTATCTGACCCTTGTACATTTGAGCACGATGCCAACTAAATCTGGGATTTTTTTTATGTATATCAACATCGTGTGCCTCGTTTGCGCGTTTTCATCTCAGTTATCTGTCTGGAAGCTCTGTTGGATCGCATTAAGTTTAGGTGTTCGCCATCATTCTGTTTCAATAGGAAATCATGCGTTTATGTAAACTCATGCACATATATATTCACTGCGAATGACGCAGGTTGTCAGAATGAATTTTTTACATCTAAGGATGTGAAAATATCACATTTCTTTCTGTCTTTTGGTAGAAATCTGGTGTATCTTATATTGCACTGTCGATAATTGGGATTGGAATCGTGTCGTTTTAATCTTCACAAACTTTAATTTCACTTTTTCACTGAATATTTTCATCAATTTATATGTGATTATTGAGTCGGAAAAGCGTGAAAAAATTGTAAAATAAAATCTATTGTTTTAAATAGATAGAAGTGAGAAGCACGTACTAGCCAAGTCTTCCGATTTGGGATTAACCTGGTCTGAGCTTCTCAGGGATGTAATCCGGGTATGGGCACCTCGTGGAATTAAAGTTGATATTCCAAAGCCGCACGACAAGAGCATTATCTCATTTGAGCCAGAAACAGTCGGAGATTATGAAACAATTAAACTGGGGCACTTTCTTTATGCTTCACACTACTCAAACCCTGGAAACAGAACATTGCAGTTAAGTGTATCAACTGATGGGGGGAAGACATTTAATAAGGCCCACTTGCCAACAATACAATCAGAGCGGGTGAGTGATTACATTCTTCAATATTTTTTGCCCCTAACACAATGCAAACAACTTGGTGCACTCTGAGATTAATCAGTCTTAATTACGTTCCCAAGTTTTGTGTGATTTGAAATATCAGTCATTTTTTTTGTTGACTCATTAAAGTGACTGTTTTTCGATGTCAAGCATACGACTGTAAGCTGTTTCTAAAATGAAAAAGAAGGTATAAATCTGTAGCATTTACGGGAATATTCACTTAGAAATAGCTGGATTACCAAACATTCAACTGCAGTAAATTTAGCTCGAGGTTTTTCAATTTCAAAAGTATTTCGTGGTTGGAATGTGTGTACTTGGCAGACTTGTGTGAAATGTCCCAAATACATGTGATTTCACAAGGGAAATCACATCTACAATTATTACAGAACGCAGTTTTATCATATTGCAAAATGCCCGAATAGCTCAGTGGTAACGTCTTTGACTGCAGCACTAGGTGACGCGAGTTCGAATTTTAGAAGAGACGTGTTCCTTCAGGGTTGCTGATGAGTGCCCACTAGCACGAAACCTAGGTCGAAGGTTTGCTACCGGTTGCCTCCAACCATCTAATATTTGTTTCTGCAGGTATAATTCTCTCTGTCACTGTGACGTGAAAATGCGGTCACCAGGTTACTTTTCAAAGTGCCATAGCATAATTTAAACGATAGTGATGTTTCATTATACGTAGTCATTTATATCAACAAAGACCGCAGTTTTGATTGTTAAATATCTAAATCTGTTAGATATGCTTATAAGTTTACAGACCGTAAATGTTACTAAGTTTGTAGAATAATTTCAGCGCCGAGTCAGATTGATTCATTATTTTAAATAATTTATATTGTTAGATATGATGTTTTAATATGCAGATATGCCAATATGACACTTCAATTGAATGTCTTTTAATTGCGGTTCTACGGAGGGAGATTTATTGGCAGATAGCACAGAATTTTAGTAATACTACGTATAGGTTTGTCAGTTAGAGTTAAAAAATAATATCACCCTAAAGTGAGAGTATGATACTGGATGCGGTCATATTAAGTGGGAGGCTGGACTGAATCTCTTCTGTATTAGACTAAAGAAGTCAAAGTAAATAAAGCAAGAATGCGTGGTGTTTTCGTACGGGAAGCCAAACTGGCGCTATTACAAGACTTGAATATACAGCAATTCAAAACTCAACAAGTGTGCTAAACATGGAAGTCGATTGAACGTTAAAGCAAAAGTATAATGTTACTTTAAGTTGTTTGCCACTGTCAAACAGACATAGTCAATTCCTTTCTTGGACATATGATATTACATTGTGTCAGATGACTATATTCCCAAAGAAAACACTTTGATCTCTCATCTTATGCTACTGCTTTAATGAGTAAAACTGACCCGCCACTACCAGAGCATTGTTACTATTTTGTAGGATGCTTTAGTTTGAGATTTGGGTGCACTTTTATTTTGATATTTTGTCTTTGACAGATGGGTCAATAGAAATACTGACTCGTTAGTCTATATGTTCCAGTCTTCAACCGACAGACTATTTGTTTCGCTATTGTTCTTCTATCTACAGATAGTAAATATTCTCATTCTTAGCAGAATAGGTGTAATGTATAGTCTTGTATCGTTTAATTCCACAAAGTAATAAACACATTCAATCAAAAAGCTCTTAAGTGAATAAAACACACCATAAAGACTTTACTGTTAAACCTCTCGTTAAATACAGTTAATTGACACTGGCCAAGATTTCGTTCGCAATAATTTAAGCTAATTTATTATTTTCAAGTATTGGTTTTGTAGGGATTTTGTTTGATTGCTAAAATGATCCTTGTGAAATTTTACAACCTCAGGATTAACAATAAAAATGTTGTCTAAACAGGTATCACTTCTGAATGTATTTTTCTAACATCGAATACAGTTTAACTCTGAATTGATCAATAGATAATAAGTAAACAGATATTACATTGTTTATAAATGTATAAGATTGATGTACTACATGACATGATGCTTGTTCCTCTATGTTTGTGTGATTGGGTCTATGTATATTTCAATTTTCGCATTATTTTGCTTATTTCATACACTTCCTTGTTTGGAAAACGTGTCTATATGCCATTTAAATAAGTATACCGTGCATGCTATTTATTAGGTCCATTAAACTTGAATAGAATTTTATCTAGGTACATTGGTCACAATATAAATTACTTTACTATTATACGAAATTAAGGATTATTATACAATTTTCGGGATAAATACGTATAATATCTTCTTGATACATGCATATAAGTCTAAACAACTATCAAATATTCATTGACGGTAATTTCCTGTGCTAGATATATAAATGTGCACATACATATGAATATATAAATAAATCGAGCTGTATCCCGTCTGTGACAACCATAAAATAACGAAAATGTGTATCATTTTTTAATCACCTAAAGCTTAGTGTTTTCACCAGATAGAACAATATCTAGTTCTGCTGACAGAAATCAGTAGTAAACTTCTTCTAACTACTGTTTGAAGTTTAGTTAATAAATTATGCGGTGCTTAAGTGGTATGATACTAGTTATTACTATTCAATAGCAACTAACCAAAAATGAGATTTGTTTAACATACCTTTTTGAAATGTGTCAATCGTATATTTGTGGATGACAAGCTCGTAAAGTAGTGGGTTAAACACATTTCTATTGTTCAAATCACTACACTGTATTAGTAGGCAATGGGTTGTTTCGTGTGGAAAGTTCGCAATTGATCTTGTTAGCCTGTAATATATATATATATATATATATATATATATATATATAAGTATACATATATATATATACATATATATATATATGTAAATGTATATCCTTCAGATTTTGTTACCACTTGTTTGATGTCTCTTTCGGGAATTGCCCACTGTATTTTCTTTAAATTGGGTTACTTCAATTGTGGGTAAAATTTATTTTGATAAAGTCTCACAGTGTTATACAGTAATATTTACTAATCAATAAATTGTACTCGAAACATCATCAGTAAGTATTACTATATAACACTGTGAGACTTTATCAAAATAATTTTAGCCATAATGGTATTATACTCCACCACAGTGCACAAGTTTTATTCTTATATCGATAAATTGGGTGACACAGGAAATCAGGTCTAGATTTTCCAGCTGAATATCACCTAATTATAACAAATTTGTTTAGTGTAAACTACTATTTTTGTTTATTCTGAGCAAAACTAAATCCTGTATGTTGATATAAGAATTAAACTTGGGCACTGTGGTAGAGTATAATTCCATTATGAATAAAATTTCATTTTTTAATCAAGTCACAGTGTTATACAGCAATATTAACTGATGACGTTTCAAGCACAAACTATTGCTCATAATCATATCAAGTCACTCATACAACTTTTTACTTCATTTATATACATGAGTAAAATTGATTATTAGACATTTCAATAAAATCAATATAAGATGATAAAGTACATTCAGAAATAATATTAGTGTTATCAGTCGAATACAATCAGATGGGAAATAAGATGTTCTTATAGTCAAAATAAGTAACTTGTTAGAATGTTATCATGCGAATTGAATACATTTTAACATTATTTATTATGCTGTGATTTGACTGGCAATAAAATCTTCCATATCTCTGGTATTTGCGTTGAGTCACTTCTGTTGCATGTGTTGGATGTAGACTCGATAAACCAGGATTAAGTAATCAATCTCTCTCTCTCCACCCACCTACCTATATTACTTCTTAGAATTTGAATCCTCTCCCACCTTATTGTGTGGTTGTGTGTTAGTGCATGCAGTGCAATTGCTGAGTTTTTTTCTAAATTATCTATCTTCTTGGGATCAATCAAATATATATATATATATATATATATATATATATATGAATGCAAATTAGAGGTTTTAACTGGTAAACAGTGCATGAGGCTTATAAATTAATGGATGTGGTGATGACGCTTAGCATTTTATATAAAGCAATTCAATAACTAATTTATTCAGCTTATCTTTAACTCCTTATAGGTTAAGTGAATTGGATCTAGATGAATGATTTTGAAGTTGGTAGTTAAGTGTGTAGAAAATCAGATCTCTAAGTAGAAATCTTTTTGAAGGATTGTTCCTAATTCATTTTATATTTGGATTTTTTAAGGAGCATACGGTGTGATTGTGAGTTGATAAATCTTTGGTTTCTATTATTTCAAAATCTTGGAAAACAGTATTGTGACTTGGATTGGATTTAAAAACACAAGTTTTGGCATGATTCGTACTTATCACTTAGGCGCATATGTTTGTCAGTCAATCTTGACTCTTTAAGTTGAAACTGACATTCTTGAAAACAATCTTTGTCCTAAGTAGAATTTGCTTTTATTACTACACGTAATATTATTTAATTACTTGAATAGTATTCGCAGGGAGTACGTTAATTTTCAAGCATACATTTGGAATTAGAAGGGCATTATGGATTTTTGAACTGCTAAAACTGGATAAGTTGATGTCAGTATTCCTTTTCATCGTGTGCTACTTTCATTTAAATCTCTCCACTTAATGAAAATTTGATTTGATTTTTTTGTGTGTGGCAGTATCTTAATAGTTGATTGGCAGTGGCTTTTCACTGTTTAATTAGATTTCATTAGGTCTTCAGTTCTTCAATCGAAGCGTTTTGCTTTTTTTGCACACGGTATTTATTAAGTCTAAATATGCTACCTGTATTTGAAGGTAATTGCACTGATACGAATATTACTGCTGACACATTATTTGAGTAGTAATCGTCTCGATATTCTATCAGTACTCACAACAGATAACTATGTCTACACATTGCACTACAATTTTGCTTTTATCAATATTATTCTTTTTACAAAACCATTTGCTGTATGGTTACCTGTCACTTAGTTTTTGTACTTCTGTAACGGTGAATTTTAAAAATGAAAGGTTTTTACTAGTTTGCCAGTGTTCCTAGTTTTTCGTTCTAATCTAATCTTAATTCAGGTAACAGTGTTTATCTAGGATA